AGAGTTGGTGGTGGGTGGTGATGACTAGCTGCCTTCCCTCTAGTCTTACAGTGCTAAATTAGGGACGGCTAGCGCAGATAGCCCTCGTGTAGCTTTGCGCGAAATTCAAAAACAAACAAACAAACTTCCGCTGGAATCAAACACACAAGACGAATTAGAAGAAACAAATTAGGGCAACCACATAGTTTTTAAAATTGTTTCTGTTTACTTGGTGTGAGCCAAAATATTTTTACATCGCATTAAAAGCAGCGCTTTCATTTCAGTTTTAAAGTAAGAGAAATGAGCATTCAAGAAATAGTAAAATTATTGTTGTTCTTGTTGTCGAAGAAGCAAAACATATAGTAAACAAAGGAGAACTGGGTTAAAGTTTTACTTAATATTTATTTGAACCAAACGCCAGTGACTAGGGATTTCAAGCAACTTTTCGGGTGACAGAATAGTTACACATACTTTGCATGTGGATTTGTTTTATAGTGATGTAAAGTCAAGAAACACTCATTGTTGTAGATTGAAGATGTTGTTATACTATACTCTAAAGCAGAGGCGCCAAAACATGTGTTAGATTAAGTGTATTGAGTCCAGCATCCGATAAATAAAGAGTGTTTATGTAACTAAAGGCTAAGATTAAGTTTGTTAATTTCCGGTATAAATTCTCCCCGAGGAACTTCAGCCATACAAGTTCTTTCTTTAAATAAAACTAGTTTATTCTTTCTCAATACAACTTTGCAATACTCAGAATTTCCACAATCAATTTAACTTAAACATACGTTATAATTCACAACAATTCACGCACTTTACTTACTGTCACTACCGCTCAATTGACTCAATTAGCTGTCTCTATATCTCTCTTCAATCTGCTGTTCCCTCCACTTTATTTGCCGGGCTTATATACTAAAATAGAGGGCGCCTGGAAAAGACTAGAGTTGCCAAGAAAAGTCATGATCCTTCTAGAAACTCATGACGTATTACCAGAGTCACGTGACTTCCGCTGTCGTAACAATACGTTGTTTGTATCACTAAGAGCTAAGAACAAAAGATTAAGATTTCGAGTCCAGTATTTGGTGAATAAACGGTGATTGTATAAGTAAAGGCTAAACATAAGTTATTTTCTTTTCTGTGTATTACACATTTTGCAGTCCTTGTGTTTTTGATTTAAATGCAAATATGAACAATGCAAATATGAATAAAGGAAAATATTATTTATCTAAATCCAGTATAGATTAATATTTGCATAATACAACGCAATACATACCACATTCTTGTGTAGTATTACATATATATATATTTAAAGAAAATAATTATTTTCAGTTGCTGGATTCTCTTATATTTGGTTTATTCATTAGGAACACCTCTAAATGAGAAATCGGCTGAGCATTTTACTGTGTTAGTTTGGGTTACTGGCGTTTTAAAACAAAGTATTCATATTAGTTACTATTATTACACACATCATGTTTTTAACAACATGTTCATGGTGTATTCATTTATAATAATAATTGCCTAATAACTAAATTGTCTTAAGAATAATAAAGACCAGCAATAGAGGCTGCTAAGAGAAGAGCTGGAGCCGAGCGTGAGAATAATATTTAGCCAAGTTGTTTAACCGTTGATTACTTAGCGTTTGTTTGTTTGTAATTAAGCACAAAGCTACACAATGGGCAGCTGTGCCCTACTCACCACGGGTATCGAAATAGTGATGCAATTAAGTACGTTTATACCAATCTTGAGTTACATGTAGATTGAGAATTGTATCGAGATTTGTTCCCTAAATATCAACGTACAGCACTGTAAATATGTGTCATCCATGTGTATCGAAATGAGTGTGTTGTAGCGTTTAAGTTGTAACGAATAGCTAGTATGTTACGTACGGTAGTGCTTTCAGGCGTAGGAACATGTGCGGCAGCGGAAGCACCTGCTCCACTGAAAATGGAGATGGGCGAAATAATATTTGTGTACCTCTTTAAAAACTGGAAACATTTTTAGAGAAAGGAATACCGTAAACAACTTCTCTGGACAGAACATTATTTCATGGATGAAAAAGGAGGGGGACATTTTATTTCTCAGTTCAGTCTATCATTATGTTTTTCGGACTTAAATTTAAAATGCGGTATCATACAATACTTAAATAGACTTAAAAAACGAAAGGACCAAGAGAGTTCTACGGACACAGTGTTATATCAGCAAGGCCTGTGAGTGAGTCTTTGTTAGTTCATGGTGCAAAATACAAAGAACATCAATTCAACTGATACAATTTCCTCTTGTGAAACTTTAAAACCTGCTCCTTCCCTACCAGAGAAATACTCCCAAACCTTCTTTCTGACAGATTTATATATATGATTCTAACTCTGACTAAAAACTTCCAGATTGCTACTCCTATGATTAACTACAACAGAGACAGAATAAATATAGTTTCTACAACTACTAGTGCCTAGTAGTAGTTGGGATCTGTGTTAAAATATAGTTTCTACTACTACTAGTGCCTGTTAGTAGTTAAGACCTGTGTTAAAATATAGTTTCTACTACTGCTAGTGCATGTTAGTAGTTGGGACCTGTGTTAAAATATAGTTTCTACTACTGCTAGTGCATGTTAGTAGTTGGGACCTGTGTTAAAATATAGTTTCTATTACTGCTAGTTCATTTAGTAGTTGGGACATGTGTTAAAATATAGTTTCTACTACTGCTAGTGCATGTTAGTAGTTGGGACCTGTGTTAAAATATAGTTTCTACTACTGCTAGTGCCTGTTAGTAGTTGGGACCTGTGTTAAAATATAGTTTCTATTACTGCTAGTTCATTTAGTAGTTGGGACATGTGTTAAAATATAGTTTCTACTACTGCTAGTGCCTGTTAGTAGTTAAGACCTGTATTAAAATATAGTTTCTACTACTGCTAGTGCCTGTTAGTAGTTCGGACCTGTGTTAAAATATAGTTTCTACTACTGCTAGTAGTTGGGACCAGTGTTAAAATATAGTTTCTACTACTGCCTGTTAGTAGTTGGGACCTGTGTTAAAATATAGTTTCTACTACTGCCTGTTAGTAGTTGGGACCTGTGTTAAAATATAGTTTCTACCTCTGCTAATGCATGTTAGTAGTTGGGACCTGTGTTAAAATATAGTTTCTACTACTACTAGTGCATGCTAGTAGTTGGGACCTGTGTTAAAATATAGTTTCTACCTCTGCTAGTGCATGTTAGTAGTTGGGACCTGTGTTAAAATATAGTTTCTACTACTGCTAGTGCATGTTAGTAGTTGGGACCTATGTTAGCTTCTCCACTCTCCATATCTAGGTAATATATTTTGTCTTAGAGTGTTGTTGTTCTTAATATTTAACAAATAAAGTTTCTGGAAGCCACAGTCAAACCAGCTTCTTATTTTGTTTGTGATTACTGTTCCATCTATGTTAGAAGTGGTTAAAGTTGACCTCCAGTCTGGGTAGTAGACATTGAAATTGCATCACAACTGTTAAACAAGTATAAGAAAGGGGTTGCTTTTAAAATTGTAAATTCTTTGTGTTTTTCTTAACTTACAACAAAGACATCACAATACTTTTATTAAAGATCCACAAAACTTTATTGATATGTGAGCAAAACATACACTCGACAATGTTACAACTTGATTAAGAATGCAAGTATAAAGATGATGGTGAGGTTAGGAACATGCATGAAATAAAGCAAATAAGTTTTGATTGTAATTGATTCAGTGCCTTTACTGAACAAGGAATTCTGTCTGCAGGAACGTTTAGAAGAAACATATACAATAATCATATGATATATATATGCTTGCACAGTAAATTAAAAAACTGAACAGGTAAATGTAAAAAATCAGTCTTAAATATTTAAGACATACTATAGTTATTTAGTATTCTTTAGATTAAATGAAGTGTTTTTAGATTTAAACATTAAGTTATCAAGTTATTATTACATCTTTTATTATTAGTTACTCCTGATAAGGATTTATAGCAGAAATGTTCTTGCTTATTTGATATATAAACCATGACCATTTAAACAATGAATATATTTCTATGGAATATACCATGGAATGTTATTCCCTTAGCAAGGTTTTTAAAACTGAAAATACAATATTTTGTTAGCAAGGTGTCATAAATTATAACGTTATATGTCATTAAACAAGCATATATAACTTATTTTATAAATTTAAAATAGATAAGAATAAGTTGTGAGTAGAAAGAGCAAAAAATTGTGACATACTACTATTATAAAAATAATCCATCTGTTGTCTATGCATAGAAAATAAATATGAATATACCTAAAAACAAAATATTATGAAGACCTGAATGAAAGGCATCACTAGGCACTGGCCCTGTGTGCCAGTGCCCGAAAGTTCCAGTTGGTGTCTTAAAAAAATCAGAACAGAAAACCATGATTGACATCATAATGAAACACTGAAAATTCCTGTGCCTATGGGCCTGAGCCCCAAATCTTTTAAGTGCTTAACAACACCTCTGACCTGAATTATCAACTGCCATTACTTTCATAAGAACTACATTCTAAGCCACAGTATGTATAAGGGAAGTTTGTAAGGTCTTAAAAAATATGGCACAGTACAGTTACATTTTTAAATCACAACACTGTATATGAGATAAAACAAATTACACATTCAATTTTTTCAACCGTTTCTGTGTTAACTCCATAGAAAAATATGGAAAGTTCACAAAAAATAAGTTATCACTAGCTATATTAAACGTCCAAAAATATGGCTTTCTCATTTTGCTATCTTACTAAGAATTATGAATAAAAGGCACTTTTAATATTTATCATCGAAAATTATAATCTTAAAGTTTGCTCAACTAAAAGCTCCACCCCCCACCCCCAGTTGAAAAAAATCGTATTATACCTTCAAAAGTGTATTTGCCTGAAATAATCAGTACTTTAAGCTGATATCTCTTTGCCATCTATCTTTTTTAAACAAAGACCTAATTACAAGAAAATCCTATATATATATATATATATATATATATATATATTATAATATACTAGTAGAATAACAACAGTGAAGAACAACTGGGTAAAGTTAGCTTGATAAACTTAATCAATTGATTAAATCACACACAGAGAAACATACACACAACCTACTGCTCTTCATGATGTTGAGGCATTTCTCACTTCACTCAGTACAATCTCTTTTACAAACATATCATAGACATTCTTTCAGAGAATATTTTTATACTATGCTATGGTTTTCAAGGAGATATTTAACTATATCATGAGGAGATAGTTTCACTTGAAAATAAGCAACCTTGCTTTAGAAATCAATGTATAAAATGAATTATACCTAATATTTACAGAAAAAATGGAAATAATTTCTAGGTTATTAGTTCACCCATTGAACTGTAGAATGGTCTTTGCACTGAAAGCTAGACTTATAATTTTTCTCATTACTTTTGTTCAGTTATGTATCTGCTTCTTTCCAATCTATTATAATTAGTAATACTATAAATATATATTTAATTATGTTGGTATTGATGGATACTTGATTATTCTTTCAGTATTTTAACTTAATGAAGACAGTTATTGAATCCACAAAGCAGAATTTTATGTTCAACTAATTAAATATTGTGCCATTCAATTAATGTTTTTAGTTAATAATCTTAGTGAAAAAGTATAGGATGGTTCAAAAACAAACATGAATTACTATGTAATTGAAGATGTCTTGTTTTTGAAAAAGTAGATTACAAGATATTACAAGCAACTCTTGTTTCAAACATCTTTAAACAAAATGTTCCTTTTTTACTGTTTCTTATCTAATGCTAAAATTATTTTCTTCATAAAAGAAGATGTAATCCCATAACCTTTGTACAGTGAAAAAAAACAAAACAAAACTTTTTTTTTACCCCATATTTTCTAGACCTCTGTAATCTAGGCTGCATTGAAAAAGCTAAACAACCTGCTTTCTTTTGAACTAGATTAACAAGTATATTACAAAGTCAATGGTTATCATTACTTTTTATAGAAATTATTGTTAGTTTCATATACTCACAATGACTAATCATGTTCAAGGTGATATGCTAAAGGCCACACATTTGTTTTTCACCAATACTGAACCAACCACAACATAAATACATTTATATTACAAGTAGCATACACAGATGAATATATACATCCAGGAGTCCAAGATTCTAAGGTACATCAACTGCCAGTCATTTTGTTTGATAGGTCTTGCAGTGACTGACAAGTATTATCACCACCAGGCATTGTGGTCTTGTCTTATGACTGATTAATGAAAGAAGGGTTGAAATTCTGCTGGTACTCACTGGTACTGAGTACCATAACATATTTTTTAAGGTGATACTAATACCAGGACTTATTTGAGCTGCTTTCTCGTTTTGTATGTTTACAGGTCCACTTCACCCAACTGAATACCTCTACTTTTTTTTAGAGAATTTCACCCCTGAATGAAAGTGATTTTCAGCAACAATTGTAGTGTTTTTTTTTCTCTCTCAGCTTTTTTAGGTTAGTATTCAATAACCATTTTATGTATTTTATAGCCAAACCTATTTTATACACAAAGAAAGTTATTAAGTTTATCTTCTTTCTTTGCCTGTTATTTCTTCTGAAGCATGGCAACAGGTCACTTGCTCTATCATACCTCTTCTTCCATATTAAATTCTACCTAATGAAACAAGCATACTTTCATTAAGGGCAAAATTGGAGCTCTAACAAAGCCATTTCACAAAAATTCTTTAAAATGTTTGTACAGCTAAAGATGTACAAGTTATTATCTTATAACTTTTTATCAGTTTTAAAAGAGAAGATAGCATAATATCTAATTAAGAAAATAACTTGTTCTGATACTTACATGATACTTACTTAATTGTAACAGACATTTCACGCATATGAATTTACATCTTGAATCAGGGTTTTACAAAAAAAAATAAGTCAGAGAGCCTAATTAAAACTCCTTATTAAATCCTGATTTACACTGTTTGTTTTGTACTATTTAATTAATTTCATACTTTAGCCATTAATTTTACTTTTAAAAATATAGCTTACAGTTTTTTTTCACTCTGACATGTATTGAAAATGAAACAAGAGATAATAAACTGAAAAAAGAATATTATGAACACTCTCAGTTTTGCATAGTCAGTTTTCATTATGTTTTGTTTCATGTATGCAATGTTGTTTAAACATCAACATCTACTGTATAGCTTTCCAAAATAATATATTTTAAGTTTCTTCTCCTTTTGTGATATTTTTCTTTATATTGACATATAAAAGTAAAAAAGAGTTTTTCTGTTTAAATGCTGTTATTGGTTTTGTACAAGTAAGATCTTAACTTTCTACTAACTATAAATATTCTTCATTATTTTTACAAACAAAAATATTAAACTCCAATATGTTTAAATCAAAAATTGCAGCAGATGAATCTAAATATTGATTTGTTAATATCTATTAGTTTGTAGTGAAGTATTTGGTTATACACTTAATGTATTTTAGTTATTTTATTCCAGTTTTTTGTTCTTGTTTACAGTTTTTATTTATGTTTTTTAACACACAAACACTGCATTCTAAAACATTGTTAAATGTGTAATTTATTTGAAAAAGATCTTTTGATCTCTTAAGATTTTATTGAAATGTATTTCATGATTGTAACAGTATTGAAAATAATTCTGGAAATGGTGAGGAAAAAAGGAATAAAAGCAAATACTATGGGAGTGTTACCCATTTATTGTGTGAAAATTAACTGCATAAGAGTATAGTCATGTGCTGATAGTTTAGATTATGATTGGTTGTTATCCAACCAATTAGATATTGCCAAACCAGTATAGAGTGTATAATATAGCTTGTTACTCCATGTCCAGTAGTAGTAGTAAAAGTGTGTTTCTACTTAAGGTCAAAATGCTAGATGACAAGTATGAAGAAATCAAAATAATAATAATATTCTTCCCTCACTAGGGCTTGATCCCCGAACTTCCATCTTGCACATGTGCTCTGAGACTGGTGTTCTCTCAGCTGAGCTATCAGGGAAAGAAGACTCACTAGCCAACTCCTATCTTAATTATTACAACCTGAATACCACAATATCACACCTGTCGTGAAGATCAGTAAATGTAGAATTATTAACCTTCATTGAAATTACTAAAAATTTCTATACCTTATGCATTTTCCCCTATGACCTAATTGTTTGTAATTGTTACTCACAGTATATTAGTTACTTCTTCTAGAAATATTAATTTGAATCAAGACATTAATCTACTTATCTAAACTTGTTTCTCACATTAAAAATCCTCAGAATGCTCCTTATCTAGGTTTTACTCCAGACCTTGCATCAACAAATGCAGTTCTCTGAATGAGTGTCCTAGTATTCCTTGCATGGTCTGCCGTTTTAATAGGAATGTGCGGATGGATAGAAGTTGATTGTAGCAGCTGACACACTTGTTATATCTGGAAATCAAATAAGCTGCATTTGTGTATCTAAAAATTATCTTTTTATACAGTTAAACAGTATGAAAATATGAACTTACTACACAATAATTTAAGCATTGTATTACAGTTATTATCTAATATTTACAAACGAAAGGCAGAATTTTGATAAAGAGCACAGTTGTTGATACAAAACTAGCCACACAATATTTTCTTAATTTAATCATTGATACTGTGGATGAAGTAACATAAGTGTACAACATTTTGCTACAGTAAATTTAAAATCTGGTGAAAGGATTAAAAAGCAATTAGTATCAAGATGTACAGATATACATTAAATAATTTGCTTTACTACAAAGAAATTACAAATGGACATTACCTTTCTTCACGATTTATGTCAACACCTATACCAGGTGGAGCTGTTATGTTGATTTTTATAACAGTTGCAAAATTCTTTAGGATCAGTTTTAAACTGGCACATCCAACTGACATATACCTGTTAAAATGAACAATATCACAGAAGAAAGAATCTTCAATTACATCATGAAAAACTGAAGGCTTGTGCCAAATCCCACAAAAGATCATGAGAATTGGAAATGTTTGAAATGTAAAATGTTTAAGGATGTATTTTCCATCTTTAAGGGAAATGTTTAACATAAAATATATCTAATGAACCATTAGTATAAATGAGATTTTAGATAGATAAGTGTTTTCAAGTGTTTTTCTGATCACATTAAAGATTTTGTATAGAATTTGTTTTTACATAAGTTTCCTAGCAGTTATATATATCTTGCAAAATCTGTTCATTTTACTACAAACAGTGTTTATTAAATTGTTCTTTTATTTCAGGAAGCTGTGGAGTCTAGATGTTTGTCAGCTGCTGTTGCCCACTATTTATGATCTTTTACAGAGTAAATTTGAATCGTGAGTATCTTTTTATCACCTGTTACTAAATACACACCCTTTATAATATATTAATACATCAAAAAAGCTTTATCTTTATTCAATAGTACACACTGTATACCTCTGTGACATATAAATCTTCAATGCTTGAAATGTATGTCATGGATATATCACTTCTAATTACATTCCTGTAATTTAACTCATTTAAACAATTTTTTTGGATAATGATAGCTTACAATCTGGATACCATAAATCAGACATTATTCTAGATCTCCCAAGTTAAGAACAAAATATACAAAAAACAAATGAAACATACTCTTATAGATAATTTATGTTTTCATAATGAACAAAGCTGAAATGAGAAGCAGATGCCTAGTTCAAAATGAAACTTGAGAAGAAAGTCTTGGAGGACTAATCTACAAAAGCAACTCAGGTAGAAAGGATGTTATCTTGAAGGACACAATGGTATCAATTACCCAATACTGGTTATTGATCAGTGTGTTTAGAAAAACCATAAGGCTCATTCACACATATGGTAAATGAAACCTTTGTCAGTTTATTACCTATGAAACATTTGAATCAGTTTGACTGGTATGTATTTGTATGGAATGGCATGGGTACCTATGTCCAGCAGTTTGACCAGTTTGTATCTGTTTGGAATGGCATGAGCACCTGTTTCATTCTCCAGCTGCTTGAGGTATGTATTACTTGAATGAAGGTGTGACAATTAAATTACTGTTTAAAGATTTAAGTTACCAATGTTTTAGCTAGAGAGGTACCAATATTAGCTTACTGTGTTAAAACAAAAATACCTCTGAAGCATTTGAAGTGGTAATTTTGGCTCTGAAGATGTTTTTATAGTGCAAAACATAGTAATTACATTTTTAGAGCCTCATGTTTACCTTGTACAAATTTCAAAGCACTATAAAACTGTTGATATTAACTACTTTTAAATAATGACATTTATAAAGTTTAGTAACCTAATATTTATACACAGGATACTGTTGAGTACAAATCTGAATGTATAATCATTAGGATGGAAGTTATCTGCTTCTTGTCAAGTCACCAATATCAGGATATCATAAACTGGAATTGATCAAGACTTGAACCCATGACCCTCAGCTCACATTAGCACTACCAGGACTTGTAATTCCTATCATGAATGTTATAACATATTTACAGTAAAACTCTACATAGATCTTGATGATAGCCCTGCAGCATAGTTTCCATTGTATAATAATCTGTTGTAAGGCTGTCATGTCCAAGGCATACCATTCATCCCAGCTGCTTTCCATAACTCATCTATTGTACAAAGACTGGTTTAGCAGTGCTTGTTTCAACAGTCTGATCACAAAGAAATACATAGGTGTTGTGTCCAGCAATTTGGTCGGTATGTTATTGTACAAAATGGCATGAGTACTTGTTTCATTCTTCAGCTGCTTGAGGTATATGATGGTTGAATGGGAGGTGTGACTGGAGGCTTTATCTTGGTGAACACATACTCTGATGGCCTCATTTCCTGACAGATATTCATCTTGATTATGTTGAATTCTGTTGCCTTAGCCATGTGGACAGCTTTTGCCACTGACCTTTGTATTTATGTTTTCTCATCTCTTACAAGATACTCATTTTGCTTGCCATGTTTGGGATATGACTTGTAAGCACATCTCTTTCTGGATGGTCCCAAGTTGATCCAATTTGAACACATCTTTATGATCTGAGTGTATGAACATTTTGGGTTGTAAAGGGCTGTTACATACCCTGCCCAAATGTATCACACTTCCTATGTAATGCCAAACAATGTCAAACATATTAATAATATTTGCTGTTCCACTATGACTTTATATTAGCTGAAGCCGTCACATAACTAACTGATTTTCATATTCAAAATTGTTTTAATATAATGTATTTATGATTTCTTTCAATATTTCAAAGTTTATTGAATTTGTCTAATAAGGAATATAACACTGAAGACTATTATATATATACAATGTAAAGTAATTATTGTGCAGTTGTTGTTGAATTACCAAATGTTTTGTCCTCCCAGTTATCATCACAAATAGAACTGGTCTTTCTGGAGAGGCAAGGAAGTGAACCTGTTTGTGGTCAGGGGGGAGTTGTTAACTTGTCCTGTGTGGGTAAATAGGCTGAATGACCTTGGGGGTGGAATAGGAGAAAGGAGGAAATAAATGAAGTATTTTTATGATTGGAACCTAGTACATTTTCATGTTATTGTGGGGGTAAACTCTTGGTAGCAAATTTTAGTGTTGGAAAAAGTAAGAAATATCACAGCAAAGCTATGACCATGAAGTCTTTATCAATTTTTTGTTAAACATTATTACTTTATTGTGTACTGGTTTGTTGTAATTAATTCCTTTCATGAATCCTTAAGTATGTAAAGTACTCTATCTTTTAAAAAAATATTTTACTTACGATCTTGATGTGATGATGTTTAGAACATCCACTATAAGAGCCACATCATTCATTTTGATTGCAGTATCTAGAGCAGTCTGAAGGAAATAATAAATTACTTCAAAATATGAATGAAAACAAAGTATATTAAAGAAAAATTTGAAACAGGGCCATATCAGGGTAGTGTGAGTGTTGCACCCGCACAGAGTACCAACTCATAGGGGCACGAGTTTGCATCTTTGAAAGTAAGGATAGATCAGATTTGTTTGAGAAGAGGCACAAAATTTATATCTTGCATTGGAAACTGCTATTGTGGTCTAAATCAACTATAAGAATTTTAGTTACTAATATATATCATATATTATCTTTGCTACTAGCCAATTACACTTTGGTTAAATTCTGATAACAATAACATTAATGGTAAATAAAAAATGAAAAAACTAGAAATTCTTAAATTGACTTGTAATTTATAAGTGACATTACAAAATAAATGAATACAAAAGGTTGCAGAATATTTCAACCATATATTTTGTTGAATGTTGGTTTCTACACAAAGCAACTTGTTCTCTTTTACATCATTGGCAGATTCAGAAATGGTACATTGGAATTTTTAGAGCTGAACTATTGTTCAAAAGTTTACATTGATATAAATGTAATTAAAAGCACTTTTTTTATAGTTCTGTATGCCAGAAACTTAATTCATAATAAATTTTTATTTTTCTAGATATAGAACCAACCGAAAATGATAGAATGATAATTTTAACTTTTACTTTAATGAGCCTACAATTATGCTAATTTAACCTTCTATGACTGTGGGTGTGTATACAGTTCTGTAATTCAAAATAAAAAAATTTTAGGATATTCTTTTAATACTGGCAAATTTCATTACCTATCTATATTTTGATATTCATCAGTGATAGAAGGGTCCTCTAAATAGTTAGAATAACTGACACTGAAAGTATATGAGGTGTGTTTGTTTGTAGTTAACACAAAGGGCTATCCAGTTTCTAGCGTTGTAAGTCCACAGACATACCACTGTGCCATTGGGGGGCTAAGTATTTAAGGATCCTTTTAAGGTTTAAAAATCTGAAAAATTCAAATTAGATACTTAAAATTTTTATATATTTAGAGTTTAAGTGTACTTACCATACTGAATCATATTTTCCTAAAATCAAAACAAAACCATATTCATATTTATTATGTGTGTTAACTATTATTAAACAGGCAAACATCATGACTTAACACATGCACACATACATATTTATTATGTGTATTAATTATTATTAAACAAGCAAACATCATGACTTAACACATACACACATACATATTTGTTATGCACAACTAGGAAAAGTAGCTTTTCACATAAGTAAAGAGATGATGGGTAATTTATTTTCGGGTATGGCATCCTATTTGCTAGCCCATTCAGTGGTAGAATCTCTTAAACCTCAAGTTCTCACTACCTTGAAAATTAACAGTTAATGTGACAGAATCTTTGGGTTGTATTTTTTATCTTTCAGACTACCTAAAAGAACTTACAACACTTGGTCCCCCAGTGGGACAGGGGTAGGTCTACAGACTTACAATGCTAAAATCTAAGGTTCAATTCCCTTCGGTGGATGCAGCAGATAGCCCATTGTGGCTTTGTGCTAAAACAATTAACCAACCTACCTTTGGTTCTTTTGTAGCCCACTGAATTAAAATAACCTGAAGATTCTTCTGTCTGTGCTGGAGGACTGACATCATTGATTGGTGGCCATTAATGATGGAGGTCATAGCTTCTGTCTCTGAGATCTCTGGTTGGGTATGACCACCAACTTTAAGACTGTTTTGTAAATGCTTCTTTAGAGAACAAAAAGAGACTCATTGTACTGGTTAAAAAGCTTTACATTTACCATAGATTTATAAAATTTAGAATAAAACAATGGTATCAACTACCTAATACTAGTAAATAAGTAATATGTTTAAAAAAATTCTAAGACTTTACTTACACATATGATAAATGAAATATTTGGTTTTAACTTTTTGTTATTTCAAAAGGTATCAAGGAACAGAAGCAGCTCAGAATGCTTTTAAGACTTTTAAGTTTCTATTTAAACATTCATTGCAAACAAACTTCATTATTAATTAGAAAAGTGAAAATGGATTCAGAATTATACCTTTTCATAAAAAATATATAAATTTATTCAGTATTTTCACATAAACTATTTGAACTAATTTATATTAGGATTACTTCTTTCTACCAACTTTAGATTTTTGGAAAATCTCCTGTGGACATTATATTTCTTGTACAAAATTTATAAATTAGGATGTTACTGATATTTTCAGTCATGTAACTAACTTCTAAAAAACATTACTACACCAAAGGTAAAGTTCATTAAAATAATAAGAGGTATTTTCAATTTCAGAACATACAGGCAGGAAATATTCTAACTCCAATCCTACTGGATGGTCTCTCTGATCTGGTACAAATTCTTTGTGGTTCCCCAAATTCATCTGTATTTGGTTTAGGAAGGACCTTTCAAAATTTGAAAAGTTTGGATTTGTTATGTGTTGTTGCTTAGGAAAGACAATTGCCTTCTGTTGCTGGACATCTTTGTCAGGTATTATGTGGATGGGTCTGACTATGGACACAGATGGAGACTCCAAGTTTTGGATTGTTTGTTTTACCACTGTTGTGTTTTTTTCCATAAGTTTAACAGAGTTTGGTAACAAACTTCCAATCGAAGACTGCAATGAGCTTTGGCTCGGAGATTTTAGATCTGAAATTTTGGTGTATGTGGTATTAAGACCAAAAGAAGACAGGGAACTGCTACCGATAAGAGTGGAAGGTGATATGGATGACATAATTTCAAACCTCTTCCCTGCAATGGGACTGGAAGACTTCTCTGGCAATGATGGATATTTAGCAGAGGTAATATTTTCTGGTGACCTGATTGGCTTGTGTTGTGGATCATTGATTTTAGTCAGATCTAAAACAGACATTAAGAGGAATTTCACTTTTGTGTAACCATTCTATATATTATTAAAATTCATTACATTTTAGAAAGAAATTTACCATTCTACATTCTGTATATAAACATGATGATTAAAAAATTTCACCATAACCTATGAAGAAAGTCACTACTTTCAATAATATACAAATACCTGATTTTACATCAAGAAGCAATAACAATACAAAGGTTGAGTACCTTGTATTAAACCGATTTTGAAACCTCACTCTGTTATTACAGTCCATTTTATCATGTATCATTATGCCCTACTTGACGGCCAAGCATCTTGACAATAGCCCTGCAGCATAGTTTCCAGTGCAAAAGGCTCCACTTTAAGACTGTTGCATCCAAAGCACACCACTTTCCTTCATGCTTTCCATTATCTATTTAATGTATGAGAATGATGGTTTCTCAGTGCCAATTTCAACAGTCTGATCACACAAAAATCCATTGATAAAGAATACAGCAACTTGATTGGTATGTCTTTGTATGGTATAGCATGAAACCCCATTTAATTTTTTAATTTAATAAGATATGTTACGGATTATTTGATATGTTGCACAATTTTATTGCTTTTCCACATTGATATCCTTCTTGATTATGTTACATACTGTTGTATGGGGCACATGGATGGCTTTTGCTACTGACTTTTGTGTTCATAGGTTCTCACTTGTTACAAAAAACACCACATTTTCATACTACAACTGAGGTACGACTTGTTCCAGGTCCCTTTCCAAATGGTCCTAGTTCCACAAGTTGTCTCATATTATTTTCTTCTTCAATGCAATTAAGCAAATGAACATCTTCATCTTCGAAATTCTAAATTCCCAATCTTAATAAATCTTTATGATCTGAGTGTAGGAATATTTTGCCTCAGAAAGGGCTATTACATACCCTTTCCAAAATTATTATGGCATCACACTATCTATGAAACATCATACAATGTGAAAATATAATTTTGATACATTCTGTCCTATTATGGCTGTGGATTTAATGTGGCTTGCTGATTTGCATATTCAAAATCGTTTTGATATAACATACTTGACTCTCTGTAGAATATGAAATTTTTACTATTTGTAACAATATACAGTTAACTTTTGTTTTCACTGTTATGTTGAGTATTAAAATGAACATGAACAGCAAAGGAAGTAAAGGTCAACAAACAAGTATACTTTCATTTGGAAGATGCAGTGTTATGCTCATCCTACCCTCCCCCAGTGTTATCATTGCATCTGTACTGATCTAAGGAAATGATCCATAGCATTGAATAAACCTGAAAATACAGCAATTTTGGGAACATTCTGATCCCTGGGAAGGACATCAACAATCATTCAAAATAAATGTATACAAGGGGAAGAACAAATTAATGAGGACTTGCATAACTCTCTGTATGACCCCTTGAAATGAGTTTAAACCCACTCCAGGGAGAAAACACATACACAGTGTTAAACGAGAACAAGCTTCTATGGAATAACTACTATGTGGTATGTAGGTATACTATGTTATTCTCTCTTCTGCCTGGAAAGATATTTTAGTATGTATTTTGAGCTTGGGTTAAATTAATTAGAAGTGGAATATCTTTTGCTGATCGAACTATGATGTCAACTGAACCTAATAGCTGACCAATATTGTCACGGAAGAGAGATCATGAGGTGACATTGTTCGCTGGACAAAGGAAGCAAGGTGATGTTCAAAATTCAGGCACACCTTCTTGGTCCAGTTTGCTCCTAGTTTGTTGACAGCAAATACTTTCTATTTTTTCTACTACTCATGTGCTCATGTTTGCTGTTGGAATATTCATCCTATGAGAAAGAAGACTCCAAGATCAAAAACACTGACTACTCCAGAGTGAGGATTTACTGTCATTAGTGATAATGTGTGCTGCAATTTTTCTTTCCTGGTTGTTCGAATAAAAATTTTGTTCATTCATTTAACGTTTGTCTAGCCCGTTTATTCATATACCAAGGAAATGAGTGCTCAATCTAAATACTTCAGTCCCAAGAATCCTCATAATTTTCCATGAGAATTTTGTGGGAAATTCTGTCTAATACTTGTCAGTAAATCAATTTCAAACTGAAGATACCACAAATATAGTAACATTTGTATAAGCAAGAGGATTCATGGATGCTTACAACTGTGTGTATTCAGTTTATTAGAAAGATGTAGAATCTGTATGAACATTTAGAAAATTTTCTGAATAGTGAAATATATTCTTCAATAGTTATATAAAAGTAAAGTAAGGTGATATTCATATAACAACAAGTGCAATTTTGCTTTTACAGGCACATTTGTGAAATGAAGCACAGTGACTGTTTGTTGATATACAAGATGAACTTCTGTATATTCTAACCACTTCAAATTTTGATGTTTACAGGTATACAAAAGGTAGTAAGAAATACAGGTACACTTATCTTTATAAGATATAACAAATATTAAATAAAAAAATAAAAACCATTTTTAGAGTATACCTTCAGGAGGTGTTGGAAGAGGCTTCTTGGTCTTGGGAGGAGTTCGACACACTGTTAGACACATAACAAAGAGAAAATTACAAAAAATAGCTTACTGTTTATAAATAGTGTTAATTGAGTAACACTGTTAGACACATGACAAAGAGAAAATTACAAAAAATAGCTTACTGTTTATAAATATGTAGTGTAAATTGAGTAACAATGTTAAACACATAACAAAGAGAAAATTACAAAAAATAGCTTACTGTTTATTAATATGTAGTGTTAATTGAGTATGAGATGACCATTTTGAATGACTTATGCTTGAAAAACAAACAAACCTTGATTACGTTATATAAATGAGAAATGATTAGTATAATACGTTAGAAATAAGTTGATAAAAAATTATATACTCCTGTCAACATTACTGTTTTTAATTCACCTAAACAAATAAATGATAGAAGATCTTTACACTTAACTTTAACTTTATACATCCAACATTGTACTAAACAAATAACAAATTATAACGGTATTATTTGTATTAAAACGTTTCTAAGATCAACGTAGAGGATTTTTTGTGTGTAAATTATGGTGAGAACAGTGACATATTGAAAAATATCAAGAATACAGTTACATATAACTGATTTATGATATAATGTGTATAACATCAGTTCATAACAACGAAGATGTTTAGTATCATGTTACTTAATATCTGTGAAGCAATCTAATTAGAATTTTGTGACAATTGTTTCGAAAATACTAAGCAGATTAAAGATGAATAAGGATTTTAAAATACATATGAAACCTGAATGTACATTAAAACTTTAACGCTTTCATCAGTGGAGTAAATATGCCCCTACAATTTCAAGGAGGCTCAAATTAGCCAGAATTGTGACAACAATTATATGGAAATAAATAAATGGGGCTCAATTACTTTTTGTGTGGGGAGCTTATATGGTAGTTACAACATTGGCTTTGCTATAAAATTGTAGTATTTTCTAATAATAAAAAGCAAACAAAACATTGTAAATCATGATAAAGCTTGACTATGAAAAAAACAAAACACAGTCATTGATACAGTGAAAGTTATTAGTTTATTTAAATTGCAAAAATATGAGAGTTTCTTAACAAAAAATAAACCACATTTTTTGAATAAAATGTGAGTACAAAGACTAGAAAAATAGCTTTGACACTTTCATGTGTCCTTTCCAATTCTACACATTTTCCTGTGTGGGAAGACTGTAGGACTGAAGAGGACACTTGAAAATGTTGAAACTAGTTTTCTAATTTATGCAAGAGTGTGATATTTTTTTCATTAATTTAGCTAACATACACTGAATTGGGTATTTTAAACTGCTATGATTCTCTTTTTAATGATTAAAAATATCTGTTAGATGATCTGGTATTAGTACTTTTTAAGTTTCTGAACTATATAGTGACTGTTTAACAAAACTTATCTTGACTCACATTCACTGGAAGGATGAAATATTTCACTGTAGTACTCATGATCATTTATTTCAACACAGGGCTGGAAATCATCTCCAGAGTCTGTCTGATGAATAACACTATTGCCATCTTCAACCATTTGTACCTGCAGCAACCTGTAACAATAAACTCTTTTGTATGTCTTTGTAAAACGATTTTTTTTTAAATACATACAGTGTTTACCAATGTCTGTTGTTGTTTAATAGCTTTGAACAACTTTCCAGATATAATGATAATGAGAAAGTGAGCATAGAATGTTCTAAGTAAACTAGGATTTAAGGTAGTTTTGTGTAAAGAATTCATGGTAATCTTACTTGCTGTATTAAAACTATTAAGCTACACCTAATATTCTTAGTACTTGAATAAAGAATAAAATATTCTTATCAAATTGCATGACCTTATTTCATCCAAGTTTGACTTCAATAAAATATTAGAGCAAAACAATGCATTTTTATAACTTTCTGTAGTATAAGCTTAAAATATATTTTTATACAAACTAAACAGAAAACATACCATATTCCTTAGCATTTTTAATGTTATGGCAATACAGTCTTGAAAATACAGTTGAAAATCAAGGTTAAGCAAAGTGCAAAACATAAATTAAAATGCAAGAGTCAATTGAAAGTATTGTCATTCTTTATTTTCAAAATATATCCTTTGTACTTAATCTTGTTTAGAATGGTGCAGCATAGAAACTGTACAATGTGAAATTACCTAATTGCATGAAAGTATATTTTTACCCATTTGATTTAGTAAAATGTTTAGCAATAACACAAAAATGTTAAAAACATCTTCCATATAAATAACTTTAAATACTAGAATCCATAGTTCTTTAGCTACAGATAGCAAAATAAAAAATAAAAAGGAAGAAAAACTGATATATATTTACAAGAATGAATCAGAAATAAAATTAAATGAGCAATAAGAATAAGCAAAGCCAGATATAATTTAAGGCAATTATACTTACAATGTTTGGTTACTTACTGCTTGACCTTTGTTGAAGCTTTTTCTAACGTGGTTGCTATGAAATGGAATGATAAACAGTTACTCTAGAGAAATATATACATAAACAAACAAGGAGATTGATTCTGTTCTTTTAAAGAACCATGTGATATTTGAAAAAATAAAGTAGGATAAAAATATAAATGGAAACAACAAATTTCTCAGCAACTCATTTAAAATATTGTATTATAAAAACTACTATTTTAACATGTGCAACAATATTGTTGTGATAACAGGTAGGCAAACAACAATATATAAGCATAAGGAAGAGTTTTAATGATGGTGGAACATATTACTTGTTTTGACAGAATATTGGTTTATCTTCTTCTGAAAAAGACAGACCAATGTTCTGTTGAAACATATAATATGTTCCACATTCAATAAAAATCTTCTTTATGCTTATAAATTGCTGTTTGCCTACCTATTATTATATAAGCATAATGTACTTTCTTACTCAAATATTGTTGTGTCTTTAAACCATCTTTCAAGTTAAGCAGTAAAATCTAATAATAATTAGTACCATCTTTCAGTTTTGTTTATTAAGTTTAAATTATTGTGGAGTAAAGCAGAATTCTGACATTATTAGAATTAGTTATGGGAACATCTTATACATTATAGTTTTTTCTCTGTTTTTGTATAAGTTTTAATATATTTGTGAAGTTTTAAAAAGTAAATGTATTATTTTTAATTAGGAGCTTCTTGCAAGAGTTTCTACGAAGTAATTTCATAAGAATTACAAAGATAATTTACACCACACAAACAAAGGCAAGGTGGATGAACAAAGATCAAAGCTTATTTCATTTTCACAAACTTTCTGCACTATCAGAAGTAATTTCACATGTATATATATAATTAACTTTTACATGATTAATTGTTACAAAAGTTAAGGTGTAACCAGTAAGGGAAGATTTAAAATGAGACTTCTAATGTATAGACATTACCTGGGAGAAAATGTTGTTTGTGATTCACATGATTTACTCTCAGCAGTTGGAGAGACAACAAATGGCTGTACATGCTTTAAATCTACTACATAGATAGACACATTGGTGAGGGAGAATGCTCCAGCAATCTGGCAAAAATTTCAAATAAAACACAAAATAACAATTGTAATTTCATTTTTGGAATTATATTCAAGAAAACTAATTATTATGATAATTTTAAGGTCTTTTGATTACTTGGAACTTAGAGACTTGTAATGACAATTCAATACTATAATTACTTTGATAATTTAATAGTAACTGCTTTGATCTTTCAAGGTCGACATAACAGCTTTATGTACGGTTATGTTATTTTTATTAAAAATCTTTACTCACTAGCTCATTCTGAGATGTGGAGATGTCGGCAACTTTCCCCCATCCCATCACTACAGTGTCAAATGTACGGGAAGGTTCCCAGCCATACACTTTTAGTACATCTTGAGCTCCACCAAATACACATTCTCCATCTGGACTGAAATATATACATCTAGTTGGTGGAGGAAAAAATATAATATATTTATTATTTTAAATACTTTCACAATTTTCAAATGAGCACAGATTGTTCATGTTACTTTTAATATCTTTGTCTTAACAATTGTACATTAACTCTAATTCTTGTGAAAAGGAAAAAAGTATATGTTCAAGTGAATAATTTCTTTGGTCAGAGTGCAAAATATACTTTTAAAAAATAACTTATAATTATATTTTGCTATGCTATATTTGCAGCCTCATATGAATAATTTAAGCTTACTGATAAAAGAGAGAAATAAGCTTGATGAAAAACACAACTTTGATTTTTAATAATTAATAGTTCAAAAAACAAAAATGTCAGTATTAAAAATTATATTGAAATATTAAAAATGTTAAATAGTTATATTTCATCGTTATAACAGGTTATTAAAAACAGAAACTATTAGAAGAAAAAATTCAAGCATTTTAAATTGGATGTAATTATTAGTGTTTTTGTTTAATTTGTTTGTTTGTTTATAGTTAAGCACAAAGCTACATGATGGTCTATCTGTGCTGTGCCCACTGGGGGTATCAAAACCTAGTTTATAGCAATACAAGTCCACAGACGTATTGTTGTGCCACTGAGGACATTTTTGTCTAATGAATTAATTGTTGTTACCAAATAAAGGACTGGGTAATTACCTAATAGGACCACAGTCTCCTTCAGTAGATGAAACGTGTTGAAAATTCTCCAGATCCCAGAATCTTATTGATCTAAAAGGGATGGCAGTACCATACATCAATGTTAGAAGTGATACTCTGATCTGAAAAAAGTTTGGTTTCATGCCTAATGTAAAATTAAAATGTGTTTCAAATCTGCCAAAATAAGCCCAAGTTTCTAATAAATGGTATCTTTATGCAAATTCTCAAATAAGATGATGGAACTATGAAGTTGATTCATGGTAATTACAAAACATAAAATATAACACTAACATTATAACATGATACAAGACACAAATTAACTCTGTAGTTTTTGATGTTCTAATTTGCAGTATAGCATTTTAAAGATAAATATAAAATATTCTAGGATAGAAAGAAAATTATGCATAGAATATTTAAGTAGTTCAAACAAGGTTAATTACTTACAAATCAATTAGGACCACAACAGAAGTATTATTTCCTGCTGTCACAAATTGTCTGCAGGCTTACCATTGAGATTGTAACCACATGATGGTAACACAAGTGAGAATTAACCAAAGCCATGACAGATAACTTAATTAGGTCATATAATAATTGACTGACTTCAACTACTAGTGATATTTTGCTCATTGAGGTTACAAATGATATCTGTGATGATCCTGAAAACAGTTTATTTAGAGAATGTATCTAATTGTTGTCCTGAACTGTTCAGACTTTTGTTTTCTATTCAAATTAATGTATTCTTTCAAAACTGGTAAATATTTTAGTTTTCTTAACTGTTTTAAAGAACAGTTGATTTAAAAATCAAAATGAATTTGACATTATTTCTATAATACTTGCTACATTTCTAATATTTTTTTTAAATAAAAGAACACAACTAGGGACTTGAAAATAGGATAAAATACTGTATCTTGACACGAACTATAAAATATGTACAACTTAACAAATGACCTTTAAAGTGTGTCACTTACTTGTCTGTGCTTCCGCTTGCTAAAAGAAACTCATTGGGATGAAACTCTACATCAGTGACAGGTCCTGTGTGTCCCCTGAATTCTTTAAGCATCTTGCCTGCAACCAGGTCCCACAGCTTATAAAGTAGGTCGGACAGAAAGGTTAACATGTACATAAACACACATTTCTATCTAAACACTGTAAAAACTATCTGGAGTGAAAAATAAAATGCTTTTTTTTTAGAAATCAGCATATAATGTTTAGTAAATAATTTAATGAATGATATATAAAAAGACCTTTAATTTGAGAGTACCTTTATGTTTTCCTGCATATAAAACCACCAATATTTTATCATATTATACATCCATATTCAATCAACATTATTTCCATTCATAGTTTATGTTGATTAGAAATATATTACTTCTGTTTTCCAGAGTACCCATTGATATCAGAAAAGAAAGAAAATAAGTTATACTTTTATGAATTTGTATACATTTTAAAATTACCTTGAATTATTTGATATACAAAAAAGACCAAATGCTCACCTTAATTGTGCCATCATCACCAGCAGATGCAATCCACCTTCCATCAGGGCTAAACTTAATATTATTAACTGGTTTATTGTGACCCTAGTAGAAGATATTTCATTAATTTTCTTTAATAGCAATACTTTAAAAAGAGAAGGTATAAGCAGGTAAAAATGAAGTGACACTTATAATTAATGAAAAACAAAATTAGTATAACAAAAGTTAATTTGAGGAAATAATGAAAAATAGCTGAAAATAATTCATATAAAAATGAGAGAAAAAAATCTAACCTTTAAAAAATTAAAAATGTATGTCATTATTAGTGGTTTTAGATTCAAATTTAAAATTATGAGTCTTTACACTTTTATATGATCAAAATATGATAATATGCTCATATATAAAATTCCACACATATAAACACAATTGAACAAATGTTTTGACACACTTTTTTTTTAGGAACTAAATAAGAAAATTTTTCAGAGTTAATGTATTCTTCAAATGAGATCATAAACATGAAATTTAAACAAGTTCTAGGGTTGTTTTACAAGCATGACAAGCTTTAAATTAACCCATTATTACCATAGATGTATTTCAGGGTTAAGAATCTTAGGGTACATAAAATAATAACCTGTTTGAGAAAACAACAACACATCTCCATTTAAGAAATGAGGGGTGTAATTCAAAAGGTCTTTATAATAATATAAGAACAGTAAACTCTTAAAGCCCCCCAGGCATAACTAACTATATTTAGCTAACAAGTCATATCTGTTATTCAGAATATGAAAACATTAGACTTACCTTGTATGTATAAATACAGCCTTTTCTTTTTATGTCCCATAGCTAAGAACAACAAGTAAAAAAACATAAATATGCTCACTATATGTACATTTAATATTTATGTTTTTGCTTAAAGGTACACTATTTGCTTGTTCAATATTTACTTAAAATAAAGTTTTTGACTTGAGCACAACTTCTTTATTATACTTCCCAACAAACAAATTGTATTTTCATTAAAATAATATTTTCGAGAAGCAATATGGATTTACCTTCTTTTGTGTAATTTATGTTTAAATGCAACCTAAGATTAAGATATTATCACTGTTAATGACTTCACTTTATGCTCCAAAGAAGTAATAGTCAAAAAATTAAACTTACTTTTATGTTGGTGTCTAAAGAACCAGATGCAACAAAGTCACCATAGGGATGAAAATCCAAACATTTTAGATTTGATTTGTGTCCAGTTAATGTTCTGAGAACTAGAATAAATAGAGAATGGTGACAGAGATTCAGTCAATAAATAACAAATGTCTAAACTTAATTTCTACAATTTAAAAAAACTACTACTATCACTGAATTAAAAATATAATACAATTTTGTGGTTTAAATTAATCAAACAAGTTTAATGTAATAATGCACCATCCTTTATAGTCTAATCTTGCCTAGTTTTGAACTTGCATAATCCTAATTTGAACGTTTATTTACAGATAGAGTATAGGTCTTTGGCCTAGAATGGACTTTTGCAATACTGACAAAAAAACAAAACGTATTCATAACCTTCATAACAGAAAGAAAAGATGCTGTGTAATACATATTTCACTGGTGATATCATTTTATGTTACAAAATGTATGTTGCTTTTATAATTGATAATTTTACAATTCAGATGTCTCAAATAATTCTTGATAAACTCAACATAATTACAAGTACGTTTTATGGCAGTATCAGATGTATACAAAATGAACATTTTACTTGAAAGTTGTGTAAGTATGCGAATTAGAAAACTAGGTGATACTGACAATTATGAGCAACAACAAAGTTATAGAAATGTTTTGAACTAGAAATTTTAAATTATTTTTATAAAAAACAGAGAGTATCAGCAAGCTTATTGAAATTTATGTTACATTTGTGTAGGGGAAGTATATAAACCCATCAGAAAAAGTAAATAAAATAATTTTGTTTTAAATAGTGTTTCTACATATTAATAGATTCTGACTTAATTCTAACATAAAGTTTTTAAAACAGCATATTTAAGACTAAGACAAGATTAATCACATTAATTTACCAATAAGTTATCATTAATATCTTATTTGCCAGTTAGATTAAAATAAATGTATAAATCATGTTATTTCAATATGAAACTATGCTTACTTCTTGCTGTTTCCAAATCCCAGATCTTCAAAGCCCCAGACACTGAACCAGCACAGATTATGTCTTCTGCATGACCAAATCTGACACATTCTACTGCTGTTGTATGACCAGTCAGGCTCTACATACAAGGCAGAAATGTGATTATAACAACAGCAATAAAATACTGATTATTCTAATGACATTTTTAATGGTGTTTGCCTTCTATGTTCAGTACAGTTGACTAGCACAGTAAAGCTTCTGTAATGTTTTTCCATTTCAGCATAGTATTCTTAATAAGGGCAGTAATGCATTCTGAAATTTATTACTTTATACTTGCTTATTATTAAACCAATGTGTTTATGAAGGAACACTTGTCGATTAGCTAAGTAATGTTTCTGTGAGGTGTACCTTTATTTACAGTACTCATAATGCTTTTGTGAGGTGTATCTTTACTTTCAGTAGCCTTGTTGATTAGCTCAGTAATGTTTTTGTGAGGTGTATCTTTACTTTCAGTAGCCTTGTTGATTAGCTCAGTAATGTTCTTGTGAGGTGTATCCTTACTTTCAGTAGCCTTGTTGATTAGCTCAGTAATGTTCTTGTGAGATGTATCTTTACTTTCAGTAGCCTTGTTAATTAACTCAGTAATGTTCTTGTGAGGTGTATCTTTACTTTCAGTAGCTTTGTTGATTACTCAATAAAGTTTTTGTAAGGTGTATCTTTGCTTTCAGTAGCCTTGTTGATTACTCAATAAAGTTTTTGTAAGGTGTACCTAGTTGATTTTCTCAATAATAGATGTTCTCTTAAGATAAAATAAGGTTTAGTAATGCAACAATTTGTATTATATGTTATTATGTATTATTTACTTTTTGTATGATTTACTTCATTATTACATAAATTATCCTGTAAATTGTCTTCTTCATTAAAAGCAACGTTGTTGAAAAAACAATACATTTAAAAGTCATAGTTTGATGCATTCGACCCCAGGTGGTTAACTGTAATAATATGCGTGGCACAAAAAATTAAATCACAATTCTGAAGTCATTTTTTGGAAAAGGCAGTAATATAACTTTATAAGATTGATATGCATGAGGTAAAGGTTATGATAAATTAATTATCTCTATACATATAAATAATTTTTCTATACAGCATTAGCATGGGCGTCCGCAAGGAGGGCAAGAGGGGACATTTGCCCCTACAAGAAATTTGTGACATAATTCTTTCTTTATTTATTCAGCATATGTATTATTCAATTCACAATTTCACACTAATTTGCCCCTCCCCTCACGAGCATTGGAAATATTACGAAAACAGTGAGGAAGAAAGATATGAAAGGCAAAGCAATTGTCCACTCTTTATCGTGTAAAAGGGTACTGCACCTAAAACAGTCATGTGTTTATAGTTTCACTGTGATTACTTGCCATCCAACAAATCAAATGCCTATAACAGTACAGGCAGTTATAAAATGCCTAGTAGTAGTATTGCTTGTTGTGAGCCAGTTATAGCTTAGAGGGCTGAAATCTCGCATCATACTACGTGTAGGAATCAATGGTTTTGGCTAGTCAAGGATACTCCATACGAAAAATTGCGGCAAGACTCTATTATAGTAGGAGTTTCAGTTGCGAAAGACTCTGAAGAGGGTACATGAAACTGGCAGTATTAATAACAGAAGTGGTCAGGGAATAAAACCAAAACTCATCATGGAATTTCCCTAGAAATAATACTCATCGAGCGGAGACTTATCTTCCCTAAAGACAATGATCCCAAGAATACGGCAAATGTGGTGAAACGCTATCTTGACTGAAAAGAGGTCGATGAAACACTCGCAGCTAAGACTTGGCCTGCACAAAGTCCCAGTATCAACATTCTTAAGGGGGATACCGGCTTATATAAAAACTTTGAAGGTGAAAAGGCGACCAACTAACTTAATTGTGAGGAGTATTAAAGGACACTTGGAACAGTATTTTACAATCTACATTGATAAACTGTATTGCAGCGTAACACAAGGGATAATGCTCTGTGTAAAGCATATACCAAACACTAGTGCTTTGTACAATTTATTTATTTATTTATTTTTTTACGTTCTCTGTGATAAAGCTTTTATCACTAATAAATTCATCATTAAGTTGCCATTATTTACGACTCTGTATGTTTCATCGCTTGTGTGTTTCCATAATAATTTTCATTACTGGGTACTACCATAGCGTGCGGTCTAAAAATATATTTACATTACAGCGTGCGGTCTACACAGATACTATCATCATCATCACCATTTTAATGATTCACTAAAACATAATTTCTTGCTAAATAACTTATATCTATCCATGTTTTTGTTCAGCAAATAATAATAATTTAATAAGTTGTGTGTTCCAAAAGAGTATCTTAAATTTAAGTTATAATTGTGCTAGTTTTGAGTGTTGGAATTTACTTCATTTAGATTATATTTGCCTCCAAAAAGTTATGTGATGGTATTTTGTATTTTACTAATTTAAAAGTATTATTTATAATAAATGGCGCCCATTGCAAATAAACGAAAGTTAAACGGTGATGATGATAGTATCTGTATAGACCGTACGCTATGGTAGCGCCCATTGCTATATATATATATATATATATATATATTTA